GAAATAGTATGTGCGTAGTTTAGTTTATTAATGTATCCGTTCCCACACGGCTAAGAGCCAAGGAACAGTTATTGACGTTAGTTAAATTTCCTTATATACCATATATAGCGTAAACAGAGGAACTACTCCGGCCAATAACAAAATTTGTTGTTTGCAATAAATAGTATAAATGCTGCTCTGTAAAATAATAAAAATCAGTTCGATCATTAAGTTCACTCGTTGTGTTATTCAAAGTATAGAGTATACTAAGAAAGAGATATGGCGAGTAACACGAACTCAACACCCTTAGAAAGATCAATGTAATGGTATATGTTTTTGAAATTTGGTTGTAATGAAAAAGTGATATCAGAAAAAGTAACTTCAAGTTTTGGTGTAATTGTAGCTAAAATTTGAAAATATAAATAATTTTTTATACAGTGTTTTTTAAAGATATTTTCTACAATTCACATATCAAAAGAAAGCTCATAACCTAATCAATGTAATGGTACCATTTGTGTTCAAATTGATTGTAATCATAAAGAGATATGTGCTAGTTTAACTTGTATTTTGGGCATAATATAAAGAAATGTGAAAATGTAAATAATTTTTTAAAAGACTTATTACAAGTTTTTCTTATAATTCACATATCAAAACAAAGCCCTTAGACAGATCAATGTAATGGTATATGTTGTTTGAAATTTGGTTGTAATGAAAAGTGATATCAGAAAAAGTAACTTCAAGTTTTGGTGTAATTGTAGCTAAAATTTGAAATTATAAATAATTTTTATATAGTGTTTTTAAAGATATTTTCTACACTTCACATATCAAAGAAAGCTCATAACCTAATCAATGTAATGGTACCATTTGTGTTCAAATTGATTGTAATCATAAAGAGATATGTGCTAGTTTAACTTGTATTTTTGCATAATATAAAGAAATGTGAAAATGTAAATAATTTTTTAAAAGACTTATTACAAGTTTTTCTTCTAATTCACATATCAAAACAAAGCTCTTAGACAGATCAATGTAATGGTATATGTTGTTTGAAATTTGGTTGTAATGAAAAGTGATATCAGAAAAAGTAACTTCAAGTTTTGGTGTAATTGTAGCTAAAATTTGAAATTATAAATAATTTTTTATATAGTGTTTTTTAAAGATATTTTCTACACTTCACATATCAAAAGAAAGCTCATAACCTAATCAATGTAATGGTACCATTTGTGTTCAAATTGATTGTAATCATAAAGAGATATGTGCTAGTTTAACTTGTATTTTTGTGCATAATATAAAGAAATGTGAAAATGTAAATAATTTTTAAAAGACTTATTACAAGTTTTTCTTATAATTCACATATCAAAACAAAGCCCTTAGACAGATCAATGTAATGGTATATGTTGTTTGAAATTTGGTTGTAATGAAAAAGTGATATCAGAAAAAGTAACTTCAAGTTTTGGTGTAATTGTAGCTAAAATTTGAAAATATAAATAATTTTTATATCGTGTTTTTAAAGATATTTTCTACAATTCACATATCAAAAGAAAGCTCATAACCTAATCAATGTAATGGTACCATTTGTGTTCAAATTGATTGTAATCATAAAGAGATATGTGCTAGTTTAACTTGTATTTTTGCATAATATAAAGAAATGTGAAAATGTAAATAATTTTTTAAAAGACTTATTACAAGTTTTTCTTATAATTCACATATCAAAACAAAGCCTTTTGTTGAGTCATGCTCATAAACCACAAAACATGTTAAGGAAATAGTATGTGCGTAGTTTAGTTTATTAATGTATCCTTCCCACACTGCTAAGAGCCAAGGAACAGTTATTGACGTTAGTTAAATTTCCTTATATACCATATATAGCGTAAACAGAGGAACTACTCGGCCAATAACAATATTTGTTGTTTGCAATAAATAGTATAAATGCTGCTCTGTAAAATAATAAAAATCAGTTCGATCATTAAGTTCACTCGTTGTGTTATTCAAAGTATAGAGTATACTAAGAAAGAGATATGGCGAGTAACACGAACTCAACACCCTTAGAAAGATCAATGTAATGGTATATGTTTTTGAAATTTGGTTGTAATGAAAAAGTGATATCAGAAAAAGTAACTTCAAGTTTTGGTGTAATTGTAGCTAAAATTTGAAATTATAAATAATTTTTTATATAGTGTTTTTTAAAGATATTTTCTACACTTCACATATCAAAAGAAAGCTCATAACCTAATCAATGTAATGGTACCATTTGTGTTCAAATTGATTGTAATCAGAAAGAGATATGTGCTAGTTTAACTTGTATTTTTTGTGCATAATATAAAGAAATGTGAAAATGTAAATAATTTTTTTAAAAGACTTATTACAAGTTTTTTCTTATAATTCACATATCAAAACAAAGCCCTTAGACAGATCAATGTAATGGTATATGTTGTTTGAAATTTGGTTGTAATGAAAAAGTGATATCAGAAAAGTAACTTCAAGTTTTGGTGTAATTGTAGCTAAAATTTAAAATATAAATAATTTTTATATCGTGTTTTTAAAGATATTTTCTACAATTCACATATCAAAAGAAAGCTCATAACCTAATCAATGTAATGGTACCATTTGTGTTCAAATTGATTGTAATCATAAAGAGATATGTGCTAGTTTAACTTGTATTTTTGCGCATAATATAAAGAAATGTGAAAATGTAAATAATTTTTTTAAAAGACTTATTACAACTTTTTTCTTATAATTCACATATCAAAACAAAGCCTTTTGTTGAGTCATGCTCATAAACCACAAAAACATGTTAAGGAAATAGTATGTGCGTAGTTTAGTTTATTAATGTATCCGTTCCCACACGGCTAAGAGCCAAGGAACAGTTATTGACGTTAGTTAAATTTCCTTATATACCATATATAGCGTAAACAGAGGAACTACTCCGGCCAATAACAAAATTTGTTGTTTGCAATAAATAGTATAAATGCTGCTCTGTAAAATAATAAAAATCAGTTCGATCATTAAGTTCACTCGTGGTTGTTACTCAAAGTATACACTATACTAAGAAAGAGATATGGCGAGTAACACGAACTCAACACCCTTAGACAGATCAATGTAATGGTATATGTTTTTGAAATTTGGTTGTAATGAAAAAGTGATATCAGAAAAAGTAACTTCAAGTTTTGGTGTAATTGTAGCTAAAATTTGAAAATATAAATAATTTTTTATACAGTGTTTTTTAAAGATATTTTCTACAATTCACATATCAAAAGAAAGCTCATAACCTAATCAATGTAATGGTACCATTTGTGTTCAAATTGATTGTAATCATAAAGAGATATGTGCTAGTTTAACTTGTATTTTTTGGGCATAATATAAAGAACTGTGAAAATGTAAATAATTTTTTTAAAAGACTTATTACAAGTTTTTTCTTATAATTCACATATCAAAACAAAGCCCTTAGACAGATCAATGTAATGGTATATGTTGTTTGAAATTTGGTTGTAATGAAAAAGTGATATCAGAAAAAGTAACTTCAAGTTTTGGTGTAATTGTAGCTAAAATTTGAAATTATAAATAATTTTTTATATAGTGTTTTTTAAAGATATTTTCTACACTTCACATATCAAAAGAAAGCTCATAACCTAATCAATGTAATGGTACCATTTGTGTTCAAATTGATTGTAATCATAAAGAGATATGTGCTAGTTTAACTTGTATTTTTTGCGCATAATATAAAGAAATGTGAAAATGTAAATAATTTTTTTAAAAGACTTATTACAAGTTTTTTCTTCTAATTCACATATCAAAACAAAGCTCTTAGACAGATCAATGTAATGGTATATGTTGTTTGAAATTTGGTTGTAATGAAAAAGTGATATCAGAAAAAGTAACTTCAAGTTTTGGTGTAATTGTAGCTAAAATTTGAAATTATAAATAATTTTTTATATAGTGTTTTTTAAAGATATTTTCTACACTTCACATATCAAAAGAAAGCTCATAACCTAATCAATGTAATGGTACCATTTGTGTTCAAATTGATTGTAATCATAAAGAGATATGTGCTAGTTTAACTTGTATTTTTTGTGCATAATATAAAGAAATGTGAAAATGTAAATAATTTTTAAAAAGACTTATTACAAGTTTTTCTTATAATTCACATATCAAAACAAAGCCCTTAGACAGATCAATGTAATGGTATATGTTGTTTGAAATTTGGTTGTAATGAAAAAGTGATATCAGAAAAAGTAACTTCAAGTTTTGGTGTAATTGTAGCTAAAATTTTAAAATATAAATAATTTTTATATCGTGTTTTTAAAGATATTTTCTACAATTCACATATCAAAAGAAAGCTCATAACCTAATCAATGTAATGGTACCATTTGTGTTCAAATTGATTGTAATCATAAAGAGATATGTGCTAGTTTAACTTGTATTTTTGCATATAATATAAAGAAATGTGAAAATGTAAATAATTTTTTTAAAAGACTTATTACAAGTGTTGAAGTCATGATGGTGGTAGCGAATAAATTAGACTATTTAGGTAATATAATTCTAGTTTGATATAAGTTCACCATTCCGTTACATGTGCTCGACCCGACTGACTCGACTCAATATATAATAGCATGCAGTAAAATTAACATAGGAATGTTCACGTGTCTATAAGGAAATATCAATTTACAATGTTTAACTTAACACCCCCACTTAAACATTAGTTTCTTTAGCTACAAATAAATGTATTACATTGGTAAACAAAGCATAATCTAAAATTATTTACAAGATCTGTTACCAAAACAGTAGACATAAAAGTTTTAATTTTTGTGCAGATATTGGTTTAGTGAACATATCTGATATATTATCACTTGACATAACATATTTTACATTTATTAGACCCTTTTGTATTTCTTGCCTAATAAAATGATAGCGAATATCAATATGTTTGGACCGTTGATGTTGCACAGGGTTTTTGGCTAGAGCTATCGCACCTTGATTGTCACAAAACAAACTAACAGGATTTGAGGATTCTATTGGAAAGTCTTTTAAAAGTTGCAAGAGAAATTCGCCTCTTGAATAGCAGAACTTAATGACATGTATTCTGCCTCACATGTGGATAAAGCAACAGTAGGCTGTTTTCTACTTTTCCATGAAATCAAGGGACCAGTTTTATTTAGTTGGAAACCATATCCCGTTATACTTCGTCTATCCTCTGAGGAACCCCAATCAGCATCACAATAACCCATTAGAGACAGAGGCTGTTGAGATTTTCTGAAGACAAGCCCTTTTTCTGACGTACCTTTTAAGTAACGTAAAACATGCTTTGCAGTGTTCATGTCAGATGCTGTAGGAGCAGACAGATGCTGAGACAGCTTAGTCACACTATAGCATAAATCAGGTCTAGTTGATGTCATTACATACACTAAACTTCCTACTATTTCTCTGTAGAGCTTGTTATTTACTAGTGGTGATTCTTCAGATTTCATTTTATTAGAACTCATCTCACATGGTGAAGATCTAGGTTTACAATTTTGCATGTTAAACTTAGCTAGAATCTTCTCGATATACTTTGATTGACTCATTATTATCTCATTTTTCTCACAGGTAAATTCTATACCTAGAAACCAAGAGAGGACGCCCAGGTCTTTCATTTTAAAACGACTACTAAGTTTCTGCTTTACCTCTGCTAAGCACTCTGCACTACTTGATGCTATTATTATGTCATCTACCCAAATGATTAGAATTGTCACTGAAGTATCAGTTACCTTGACATATACACAATTATCAGACTCAGATCGACTAAAACCTTCACTTTTTAGGTAAGAGTCCAGTAAATTGTTCCAATTACGACCACTCTGTTTTAATCCATAGAGATTTCTTAAGTTTAAGCACAAGATTTTCTCCATTATTTCCCTTTAACAAAACCGTCAGGTTGTTCAACATAAATATCACAATCTATGGGGGCATTAAGGAATGCAGTTGTAACGTCCATTTGGTGTACAGTTAGATTATATTGTACAGCTAATTGCATTAATATCCTTACTGATGTCATTCTGGCCGTTGGTGAGAAAGTTTCATGATAATCAACATGTGGGATTTGGGAATACCTCTTTGCTACGTAACGAGCTTTAAATCTTTCTTCCCCATTTGGAGCAGTTTTTATGGCATACACCCATTTTCCCCCCACAGAATTCTTATTCTCTGGCAAAATTGCTGGTTCAAATGTCTCATTTTCTTTTAAAGCTTTGATTTCCTCTTCCATGGCCTGTTGCCATTTCTTAGAGTCATTAGAAGCCATTGCTTCTTCATAAGACTTAGGAGCATCTACAGCTCTATAGCAGTAGTCAATAGTGAAATTTACATTGTTTTCCTCAATCTCACTTCCATCAACATATTGCTCTAAATATCTAGGTTTTGTATGCTCACGTCTTGGATATCTATTTACGTGTGGTTGTTCAGTGGATGTGTTTAGCTCATTTTCGTTTACTTCAACTGGAGGATTTTCATTAACTATATTGTATTCAGTTGTGCTTGCAGGCATACTCACAAGTACTGGTTCATCAATCATTACTTCAGTCTTTGGTACATCACTTTCAACATTAAATTTGTCGGAAAATCTTACATTTCGGCTACGCTTAATAGCTTGAGTGCTTGGAAAATAAATGAGATAGGCTGGACTTCCCTTATCATAGCCTACAAATACACCTTGTTCCTTTTTGCATCTAACTTTTTCTTTTCTTGTTTGTATGCATAGCAAATAGTGCCAAAAATATGCATGTTTTGAATATTTGGCTTGTGTCTAGTAAAGGCTTCAAACGGAGTTTTCTTAATCCTATTGAAATGAACGGTTCCTTATGTGCTAAGCATAACCAAAAACAAGTTTGTAATTTGGATTGTAAAAGCATGCATCTGGCCATGTCAAACAGTGACCTCCAATTTCGTTCTACAGTCCCATTTTGATGGGGTGAATAGGGGGCTGATTTTTCATGTTTAATACTATGTTTGACCAAAAGATTCTGAAATTCTTGTGAAGTGAATTCTGTTCCGTTGTCGCTCCTAATGCGTTTTACCTTGCCATATGGAGTAATATCAGCTAAAATTTTTCAGTTGCCTTAATAGTGTCAGACTTATTCACTAGAAAATATATCATAGTTAGTCCCGAATAATCATCTACAAAAGCTAGTGCATATCGATAATCATTTCTGGCTACAGGATCTATTGGACCTGCTAAATCACAATGGACTAGTTCTAGAATTGCATTTGCACGCCTATCCGGTTTTCTACTTCTGCTCTGAGTCATTTTTCCTTCTACACAAGTTTCACAGTCAAATTCTTCCTTCTTGTCTATTTTCATGCCATCAACCACATTTTCTAAAGCAATAATATCATTTAGGTTGCAGTGCCCTAAGATGTCATGCCATTCCTTTAAAGATTTTGTTTTGCCATTTTGCTTAGCCATGCTAGATGAGATTACACTATTCAAATAATATAACTTTCCTTTTCTCTCAATTGGAAATTCTTTCCCATTTGGGCTAACTAATTTAGCACAATCTGGAGAAAGTAACAGTGGCACCTTTACTAACTGCAGCATGTACAGAGAGATGTCTTGTTTATAGGATGGGACATACAAAGCATCCTTAAGAAGAGCCTTATGCATTACACCATCATTATCACTAATTTCAATCTCCGCATCGCCCCTTCTTTGTGCAACCTTATTTGACCTTTTTCCATCTGCTAACTCAATGAAATGCCTTTCAGGAATGAAATTTGTGTCGAACCTAATAAATTTGCTCATGTCATGAACTATGTGTGTAGTTGCCCCACAGTCTACAAGTACATGGTTAACATAGTCAGCGCTCGTTATATCCACGTTGACATTGAATGCATATGAATGACCTTCATGGATGTCATTGTTACTAACATAATTATCTCTTACTGATTTAGTAGCATCGTTCTTATTCCTCGTTTTCTTCTTGTTCTTGCGACATTTTTCTGTGTTGTGGGAGCTGTTCTTGCACAAATCACACCAACGATTATTTGACTGACATTCTGATATTTTATGTCCTGGTTTTCCGCATCCGTAACAAACGATTTTCCTTTGCCGTGTCTGTTGCTCGTGGGTTTACCGAGAACTTCCATCACACTGTCCTCCTTTTGGTTATTTTCATCTGAGAGCTTCAGTGTTTCTTCGAAACCTCTCAGCGCGACTTTGAATTCGCTAAACGTTTGTTCCTTGTCTTTCTGTGTCACAACCGTCGAGAACGTTTTATATTTTCAGAAGGCAATCCTTTGATAATCATGGCAATCAGCAAGCTATCGCTTATCGTTTCACCAGCAGATTTGAGAGACGTTGATGCCGTTTCTGCTCGCAGCATATAATCCGTAACTGTTTCATCACTTGACTTCTTTAGCGAGGTTAATTCTGTATATAACGTTATCACACGTGGTTTGCCTTTCGAAAGATAGTGCTCGCGTAAGATGGCCAAAGCTTTCCTTCCATCGTTAGCGGCGTCACGAATGATGAGAGATAAACTTCTATCGTCTAATAGTTGTATCAGTTCAGCATAGGCATCGGCATTTTTCACAGCGTCTTCTTCTCTTTGTGTTGGTCCAGCGTCGGCAGGCAATGATGACAGGATTGTTTTACTCAGCTTCTTGAGTCTTAAATACCCAAGGAATTTTATTTCCCATAACTCATACTTTCTCTCGTCACCATCGAAAATTAGGCGGCTGTTGCTGGGCCCATAACCTGTTGAAGTCATGATGGTGGTAGCGAATAAATTAGACTATTTAGGTAATATAATTCTAGTTTGATATAAGTTCACCATTCTGTTACATGTGCTCGACCCGACTGACTCGACTCAATATATAATAGCATGCAGTAAAAAAGTAACATAGGAATGTTCACGTGTCTATAAGGAAATATCAATTTACAATGTTTAACTTAACAACAAGTTTTTTTCTTATAATTCACATATCAAAACAAAGCCTTTTGTTGAGTCATGCTCATAAACCACAAAAACATGTTAAGGAAATAGTATGTGCGTAGTTTAGTTTATTAATGTATCCGTTCCCACACGGCTAAGAGCCAAGGAACAGTTATTGACGTTAGTTAAATTTCCTTATATACCATATATAGCGTAAACAGAGGAACTACTCCGGCCAATAACAAAATTTGTTGTTTGCAATAAATAGTATAAATGCTGCTCTGTAAAATAATAAAATCAGTTCGATCATTAAGTTCACTCGTGGTTGTTACTCAAAGTATACACTATACTAAGAAAGAGATATGGCGAGTAACACGAACTCAACACCCTTAGACAGATCAATGTAATGGTATATGTTTTGAAATTTGGTTGTAATGAAAAAGTGATATCAGAAAAAGTAACTTCAAGTTTTGGTGTAATTGTAGCTAAAATTTGAAAATATAAATAATTTTTATACAGTGTTTTTAAAGATATTTTCTACAATTCACATATCAAAAGAAAGCTCATAACCTAATCAATGTAATGGTACCATTTGTGTTCAAATTGATTGTAATCATAAAGAGATATGTGCTAGTTTAACTTGTATTTTTGGGCATAATATAAAGAAATGTGAAAATGTAAATAATTTTTTAAAAGACTTATTACAAGTTTTTCTTATAATTCACATATCAAAACAAAGCCCTTAGACAGATCAATGTAATGGTATATGTTGTTTGAAATTTGGTTGTAATGAAAAGTGATATCAGAAAAAGTAACTTCAAGTTTTGGTGTAATTGTAGCTAAAATTTGAAAATATAAATAATTTTTATATAGTGTTTTTAAAGATATTTTCTACAATTCACATATCAAAAGAAAGCTCATAACCTAATCAATGTAATGGTACCATTTGTGTTCAAATTGATTGTAATCATAAAGAGATATGTGCTAGTTTAACTTGTATTTTTGCATAATATAAAGAAATGTGAAAATGTAAATAATTTTTAAAAGACTTATTACAAGTTTTTCTTATAATTCACATATCAAAACAAAGCTCTTAGACAGATCAATGTAATGGTATATGTTGTTTGAAATTTGGTTGTAATGAAAAAGTGATATCAGAAAAAGTAACTTCAAGTTTTGGTGTAATTGTAGCTAAAATTTGAAATTATAAATAATTTTTTATATAGTGTTTTTTAAAGATATTTTCTACACTTCACATATCAAAGAAAGCTCATAACCTAATCAATGTAATGGTACCATTTGTGTTCAAATTGATTGTAATCATAAAGAGATATGTGCTAGTTTAACTTGTATTTTTGTGCATAATATAAAGAAATGTGAAAATGTAAATAATTTTTAAAGACTTATTACAAGTTTTTCTTATAATTCACATATCAAAACAAAGCCCTTAGACAGATCAATGTAATGGTATATGTTGTTTGAAATTTGGTTGTAATGAAAAGTGATATCAGAAAAGTAACTTCAAGTTTTGGTGTAATTGTAGCTAAAATTTTAAAATATAAATAATTTTTATATCGTGTTTTTAAAGATATTTTCTACAATTCACATATCAAAAGAAAGCTCATAACCTAATCAATGTAATGGTACCATTTGTGTTCAAATTGATTGTAATCATAAAGAGATATGTGCTAGTTTAACTTGTATTTTTTGCGCATAATATAAAGAAATGTGAAAATGTAAATAATTTTTTTAAAAGACTTATTACAAGTGTTGAAGTCATGATGGTGGTAGCGAATAAATTAGACTATTTAGGTAATATAATTCTAGTTTGATATAAGTTCACCATTCCGTTACATGTGCTCAACCGACTGACTCGACTCAATATATAATAGCATGCAGTAAAAATTAACATAGGAATGTTCACGTGTCTATAAGAAATATCAATTTACAATGTTTAACTTAACACCCCCACTTAAACA